CCCAGGGACGCCGGGCGGAGAGCGCTGCCTGTATCCCGCGCGCAGACCCGGGCGGGCGCCGTGTTTGGCCAGGAGGCGGCGGGGGCGGGGGAGGGGTAGACTGAGGCGCCGGGGCTGGGCGACGCAGAGCTTGGGTTGGGCCTCTGGGCCCCGCCCTGGGGTGCGGGGTGACCTCGGGCTGGTCTGCGTTTGCTCCCCTGTGCTCCGAGGCTCAGCTTCCTCACTGGAGTCTGTGGAACCTCGTCGGGTCCAGGATAATAATGGCCCACGTGTATTCAAGTGGCGTTTACTGCATGGCAGGCCTTTGGCAGAGACATCAAGCCAGCTAAAAACTGACAACCCCTCTTTGAGCTCGGTTTTGTCACCGTGCCCGTCCGACCGAGGAGGAACTGAGGCCCAGAGAGGGAAAGTGACTTGCCCCTGGTCACACACTGCAGGTGGTGGGGCTGGAATTTGAACTGAGGCCTGCTGTCTTCAGATCAGGATTTGTGCCTGGGTGGGGAGGCCAAAGGTGGGAGTGGGGAGAAGGTCCTGGGTCCTGAGCTCTGGAACCATCGAGGAGACCCTCCCTCCTGCCTCAGTGCTCGATTGCCAGGTGCAGGCCTGGCCATCCAGGCCTCTGGGGATAGCCTTCCTGACTGGGAGGCCTTCTGCAGGGGCGGGGCAGCTGGGCCAGCTGCTGATCCCCTCCTTCTGCCTGTCCTTCCATCTGCTGCCCTCCACCCTCCCAGGCTCTGGTTGCCATGGAACCTCATTAATCAGGCAGGCAGACCCCTAAGTCTCTGTAGAAGGACAGGGTGGGTAGGGCCTCTGGGAGCTGGAGAGGAGGCATAGGAGAAAGAAAAGGTCCCAGGGAGATCCCTTGATAAAATCCTTCCTGATCCAGAGCAGCAAGGGGCTCAAGACCATATCAGATCAGGTGGCCCTGGAGAGGCTGCTGAAGCACAGTGGGAGGAGTAGAAGCCTGGAGCTTGGACCTGTGGGCCGCAGGACAGGGTGTGGAGACTCGTTTGACTGGCACAGCCTGTGTGTGAAGGTGGGGAGCGGGCAGGCAAGAGCTAGCCAGGCAGGATGGGGTCTCTGCAGCCAGCTTGGAGAAAGGAGGAGGAGCCAGGCAGGACCCAGGACCAAGAGGTAGAAGCTGCTCAACTGCTGATGGGAGTGTGGGTGGCAGCTGGTCCCTGAGGCATCCTGGGGAGGCTCCTCAGCCCCCTTGGCCCCATGCCCAGTGCTGTCTGCCTTCCAGAATCACCAAAATGCTAATAATAATAACAATAGGAACCACTATTGTCTTACAGATGATTTCTGTGCCAAGCACTTTACCCAATTAATTCTTTCAACTCTGTTAGCAACTGTCCCTTTTTACAGACAAGAACGCTGAGGCCTAGAGATGTTAGAACCACCATGTGTCATTCAGCTAGTGAGTGGTGGGACCAGTCTGTATTTCCTGAGTGGCTAATTGACCTCAGGAATGCCTTACTTCCTAGGGATGCTAATAGAGGTTGAAGAAAGCCCAGGAAGGTCTTAGGGGCCTAGGAAGAGGTTGTAGCTTATCTTCTTTATTCTAGGGGGCTTGTCCCATACCAGTTTGTGATTTGGGCAAACATCCTCCATTCAGTTGTGTCACAAGCATTTAGCAGGCCCAGGACCCCAGAGACCTAGCAGAACCTGTGAACCCTGTCCTCAAGAGTTGAGCTGTAGGCAGGGCTATGGGCTCCGGGGTTAGAGGAAGGGATGGACAGGCAAAAAAAAAAAAATACTACTTCTGGCTCGGCACCAGCCATACATATCTGAGCTGGCGGATTCGAATCCAGCCCGGGCCTACCAAACAATGAGGGCTGCAACCAAAAAGTAGCCAGGTGTTGTGGCAGGTGCCTGTAGTCCCAGCTACTTGGGAAGTGGAGGTACAGGAGAATTGCTTGAGCCCAGGAGTTGGAGGTTGCTGTAAGCTATGTCACAGCTCTCTACCCAGGGTAACAGCTTGAGGCTCTGTCTCAAAAAAAAAAAAAAAAATGATAATAATAGCTACTTCTGCCCTACCTCAGTGGCAGCAACATTGGCCCTAGCATTCCATTCATTCAACAGTTGACAGTGGGCTCAGGGCCCATAGCTTAGTGAGTAGGGCGCTGGCCATATACCCTGAGGCTGGTGGGTTCTATCCTGGCCCAGGCCTGGTAAACAACGACTGTAACAAAAAATAGACAGGCATCTATAGTCCCAGCTACGTGGAAGCCTGAGGCAAGAGAATCACTTAAGCCCAACAGTTTGAGGTTGCTGTGAGCTGTGATTACACGGCTCTCTACTGAGGGTGGCATAGTGAGACTCTGTCTCAAAAAAATAAAAATAAAAAATAGTTGTTGAGTTAATGGATGCCCATGAAGTGCTGGGAGCACAGAGATGAGGAGCCCCTACCCACACAGTGCTTCAGGCTTTTTAAGAAGATGGCTAGGCGGCAGCACCTGTGGCTCAAAGGAGTAAGGCGCTGGTTCCATATGCCGGAGGTGGTGGGTTCAAACCCAGCCCTGGCTAAAAAAAAAAGAAGATGGCTAGGGTAGGGTCATGGAGATGAAACCCAGAAACATGATTCAGCTTTTGGCCTCCACCAACTTTCTTCTTCTTATTATTTTTTGGGGGGGTCAGTTTTTGGCTGGGGCTGGGTTTGAACCCACCACCTCTGGCATATGGGACCGGCGCCCCACTGTTTTGAGCTACAGGTGCCAACCAACTTTCTGCACTGATATTTGTTTGGGACAGTCTATAAAATGAACTTGGCTTCTGTATCTGTGAGCATTCATTGAATGCTTTCTGTATACAAGGCTCTGCAATTCAGCCATTCTTTCCCATCTGGCCTGGCCTGTCCACTTCTATCCTGTTACAGCCCTTAAAATAAATAAACTAGAGGTTCTTTTTTTTGAGACAGAGCCTCAAGCTGTCACCCTGGATAGAGTGCTGTGGCATAGCTCACAGCAACCTCCAACTCCTGGGCTCAAGCCAGTCTCCTGCCTCCGCCTCTCAAGTAGCTGGGACCATAGGTCCCTGCCACAACGCCCGGCTATTTTATGGTTGCAGCTTTCATTTGGCGGGCCCGGGCTGGATTTGAACCCTCCAGCTCAGGTATATGTGGCTGGCACCTTAGTCACTTGAGTGGCCAAGCCTAGAGTTTTTCATTATAAATATAATACATGTAAAACTAGGAAGTTGAAGGGGGCAGGATTCTAGCCCATCCATTTTTCCTTCTGTTCTCTTCCTGAGGGTTTTGATTGTGAGCTTTCATGTTTTTTTTTTTTTTTTTGCAGTTTTTGGCCGGGGCTGGGTTTGAACCCGCCACCTCTGTGGGGCCAGTGCCCTACTCCTTTGAGCCATAGGCGCCACCCTCATTTTTTTTTTTTCTTTTGAAACAGAGTCTACTATATTGCCCTTGGTAGAATGCTGTGGTGTCACAGCTCACAGCAACCTCAAACTCTTGGGCTCAAGTGATTCTCTCACCTCAGCCTTCTGAGTAGCTGGGACTGCAGGCACCCGCCACAATGCCCAGCTATTTTTTGGTTGCAGTCATCATTGTTTAGCAGGCCTGGGCTGGGCTCAAACCTGGCAGCCTCAGTATATGTGACCAGTGCCCTACTCACTGAGCTACAGGCGCCAAGTCAGAGCTTTCATATTTTAAAGTTTTAAAAATTTTAGTTTTTTATTTCCACATTCATTCACACTGTATAGAGGTTACCCCCAAATGCATTCTATAATAGTAGAAACTGAACCAAAAAATTTCATGAGCCTTTTAATTCAGAAAAAGATAGTGAAATACATTGCCCTATAATAGTATTTTGCTTGTCAGTATGTCTGAGGTCATTCTGTGTCACCCTACCTCAGTCCTTGACAACTACTATTCCAGGGGCTAATAAACTATAGCTTTCATGCCTCTCCTTTATAAATGGGTGTTTTGAGTCATTCAGATTTTTTTGCCAGTGAATGTCTTCGCTTCTGGCTTTCAGGGACCCTGTGCCCGGGTTTACCTAGAGAGAAATGGCAGAAATGGTCATCTGCTTGAGCCCTTGTTTTAGGATGTGGCACTGATCAGCCTTCAAGGATGGACAAAGGTGGTAGTCTCAGGGAGGTAGGGAGGAGTGCAGTTGATTGGAGGAGGGGTACACTCTGGCTAGTGCTGTGAGCATCTGATTTTTGTCCTGGATTCTGTACCAACCTGTTAAGAGTGAAAATCCTGGCTCTGCCAGTCACTGGCCATGTGACCTCTTCAAGGTGGAGGTCATCACCTGCTAAGAGTTGATTGGAGGGTTTAGTAGATGAATGCAGATGAAGCAGCTCTTCCCTGGGTGATGTGGGCATGGGAGGGAGCTTGTGGGGAGGTTTCAGCAACGTTGATGCTCAGGTTCCAAGGCAGACACTGGATGCAGAGATTATTTAGGCCCAGTGCTTGCCTCTGAGGGTGAGAGACACCTCTACAGAGTTACCTAGCAGGAAACTGGAAAGCTCAGGTTTGAGGAATTTCACAGGGAGAAGAGGTGACATCTCTCCTAACTGATGAGTAAGGTTCCTCCCTGCAAGGGAGGAGGGAGGGCGGCCAGGGCAATCCAAGGAAGGGGCTAAGGCTTGAAGGCATGGATTTGTGGAAAAAATGTGACTCAGCAGAAGTTCATATGGAGAAGTGGTTGGTGGCAGATGTGGGTACTAAGGCTATGGTGAAGCCTGTGCCCTGACTGGATGAGATTTGTAGGTCAGGGTGAAGGGAGCTGAGTAGCCCAGGTGGGAGCTGACAGTAGCAGCTGGATGTGAGGAGGGTGGCAGGCAGGGCTGAATGAGATTCCAGATCTGAAAGCCCTGTGTTGGTACAGGGGCGAGGCAGTCTGGTTTGTTCAGGGTGCACTTGAACTGCCTGTGGTACTCAATCCTTAAGTGAACTGAGCGGAGGGCATGGAAGTTAAGAGCTTGGCTTTTTCCTCAGAATTTGGGTAGGAATTGTGGCTCTTCCACTTTATGGATGTATGACCTTGGACCTCCCTGAGGTCAGTTGTCCTATCTGTAAAATGGGGCCATACTGCCACTTTGGGGTAGGATGAGCTAATGTATACAAAGGACTTGGTGAGCACCAGCTGCTACGCTGGTTATAGGTTAGTCAAACACCAGAGAAGAGGTGCCTTGCCACTGGATACTCAGTGGCTTAAAACATAAACATTTATTATATAGTTTCTGTGGGTCCTGAAGTTCGAGTCAGACTTATTTGGATGCTTCTGGCTTGGGGTCTATTCTGAGGTTACAGGTACAATGTTGGCTCTGGCTGCAGTCATCGGAAGTCATTAGTAAGTTTGAAAGATTTGCTTCTAAGCTCACCC